ATTACGAGTGTCGTTTCAAGAACTGTCAGTGCCCCTATTAACGTAAGTAGAAATAGTGAACCGCAGGCCTCCCCTTTTCGGGAACCACCAGGTTTGTCTATTTCTTCTTTTCCCCTGAGTGAGCCACAGGCCTCCCCTTTTCGGGAACCACCAGGCTTAACTGTTTTTCTATCCATAGTATAAGCAAAAATGGGCAAAAACTGCAAAACATGTAAAAGAGGCTTTGCCAGCAACGAGAAAACATACACTTGTGTCGCATGCAACGCTCAAATGCATTTGGAACCAACTTGTGTTGGGTTGTCTCTAGTGGCCATAAATGGAATAAAAGAACTAGGGCCGAATGTCATGTTGCTTTGTAATACTTGTGTGCAAAATAATGAACGAGACAACTTTATAAGATGCAAAACCCTGGCCAACATAGACGAGAAGCTCTCAAACATTGATGTAACTGAAAGCCTTAAAAGCATGGAAAGAAGACTTACCGATTTAGTAGATCAAAAAATTGGAAATGCAATGAAAACGACATGCGATAAAGTGGAAAAAACTTATAGTGCCGTTGTAGCTGCTGAAACCACCACCCGGATAAATCAAGCTCAAACCACTCAACATGCTGCCAGATCTAACTCTGATCACAACATAAATCAAAGTTTTAGGATACAAGGGGTCAAAGAGGACCCTGAGAAAACAAAAGGAGAAAACCTTGTCCCAACAAATGACGAAGTAAACGAAATACTAGACATAATTGGAGTGAAGCCGAAAATAATAGAACTAAAACGACTGGGAAAATTTGATCGTAATCGAATGAAGCCAAGAACACTGCTGGTAACTGTACCTAGCGAACATGAAGCACGACTAGTACTAGCAAAAAGCCGAGAAAAGCGAGAACAATTGGTCGAAAAAGAGGTCTACCTGCTACCAGCATTGACCAAAGAGAGTGCAATTAAAGAGAACGAAATCCTTAAGAAACGAAGACAACTACTAGATGAAGGCGTTCCTCGCGAAAAGCTGAAAATAAGGAATCTAGAATTGTTCAATGATGGTGTGAAAGTAACTATTGACACTGAAGTTCAGGAACCCCAGCATTGACTAGGATTCCTCAACATTCTGCAACTAAATACTAGAAGCCTAATCAACATAGAGAGAAGAACTAAGCTAGCAAATGCAATTGCAGTTGGAAATTTTAATGTCATATGCTTAAGCGAAACTTGGCTTAACGAGAATATTCAATCATCAGAGCTTTTTCTAAGTGAATATAACATCTATAGATCTGATAGAGCTATTGTGAGTGGTAAAAACTGTCACGGAGGCAGCCTAATAGCTGTCAAGAATAGTCTAATTACCGAGGACTTATCCACCAAACATGACATTCCTGATTCATGTGTGCTATGTAGTATAAAACTTCATCAAACTGAAATGATAATTGGCTCATTCTACAATCCGCCAAAAAACAGTAATTACAGATACAAAGTGCATGAATTTGAACAACTGATCAAAGCCATTCCTAAAAACAAACCGTTTCTCTTATGTGGGGATTTAAATTTCCCAGAAACAAACTGGAACACCCTCACCAGTACTGACGAGGAAGAAAACCAAATACTGCAAATTTTTGAAAATGGACTCTTTAGGCAGGCGATAGATTTCCCAACATGTGTGAAGAACATACTAGACGTAGCCTTCTATCGGAATTGCTATACAAGTGCCGAACAAGATTTTAACGTTTCCAAGATTTATGACTGCTCAGATCACAATGCCATAATGTTGTCTATTGAATGCACGGTATCAGAGCCGAAACCATACTTGGAAAATTTTAGAAGTTTTGGAAATGCCGATTTTGAAGGAATAAACAATTTTATAAACGAGAACCCATTTGAACCAGTATGCCACACAAACATTAACAAAATGCATGAGGAGTACACCCAATATTTGGATGAAATCATTAAGAGTTTTGTGCCTCTCAGAACAAGACATAGGCAATCACTTCCACCTTGGATAACAAGTAGCACTTCAAATTTGATCAAAAAGTTACAAACAAAACGGCAATCATGTATACTCAAACCCACCAACTACAGAAGACAACAAGTTAAACTGTTTGAAAATTTAGTAACTGAATCATCGGAAGTGGACAGGAAAAACTACCAAGAGGAATTGTTTAGAACACGGAACACTAATGTAATTTTTAAACACCTAAAGAACTTGAATAAACATACAAGTCTTCCTAAGTTACTCATAAAAGATGAAGTTGAAAGCACAAATCCAAACGAACAAGTCAACATGCTAAACGACTTCTTTCATTCAGTTTTTAATCCTAAAGAAAGTTTTAGTATTAGAGATATTCAATTTGGAAATCCCTTGTTAACGAATTTTGATATATCGAAAAAGACAGTAAGTGAGATTTTATCAACTCTGGACGTAACAAAGTCACGCGGCCCAAATGGGTTGCCACCTAGCTTTTTTCAGAAAACGAACCGCAATATATGCAAACCGATGAACAAAATTTTGAGAAACGTAAAACGCCTACGAAAAATACCTGATTCATGGAAAACAGCTGCAGTTACTCCTGTTCACAAAAAAGGTGACCGAAAATTGGTGAACAACTATCGACCAGTATCGCTATTAAATATTGACAGCAAAGTCCTTGAAAAATGTATATACAAAGACCTGTACCCTTACTTTGCCTGGTATTTGACGAAACATCAACACGGTTTTACTAAAGGTAGATCAGTTTTGACAAACATGCTCTCCTTCCTGAAAGAAATATATGAAGCGCGTGACAATGACTCAAACGCAGAAATTGTAGCAGTCTACACTGACTTTGCAAAAGCCTTTGATAAAGTTCCGCATTTTGATCTACTCAAGAAAGTTGCACTTATAGGAATAGGAGGCTGCATGTTAGAGGTACTCTATGACTATCTGAAAAACAGGAAACAGTTTGTACGAGTAGACAATATCAGCTCAAAAGTTTTAGAAGTCACTAGTGGTGTTCCCCAAGGATCACTTTTAGGACCACTGCTCTTTTGCATTTTTATTAACGACCTACCTGAAGTACTCAAATTCTCTGAACCATATATTTTTGCGGATGATCTTAAACTACTTTCCATCAAAAAAACATCAATTGAAATTCAAGAAGATCTGGACAAAATTCAGCAGTGGGTAACTGAAAACAAAATGGAATTAGCACTAGACAAATGTGCAAAAGTAAGTTTTAGGGGCGGAGACGCCAACTCTATGCTTTTTGGTGTAGTGCTTGGAACATCGAAGGTTGTGAAAGATCTGGGAATTTTTGTGTCGGGCGATTTAAGTTGGAAGGTACACATTGAAACAAGATTAAAGAAGGCAAACCAAGTACTGTACCTCCTGAGAAGAAACCTATCAGCAAAGATAAATACGTTTGTAAAGTTAGGCCTGTATAAGTCACTAATACTCCCAGTGTTATTATACGGACTCTCATGTACACATATATCGAGGGGGGATCAATTGCAGTTGGAGCGATTTCAAAAGAAAGCAATCCGGTGGATCACTGGAAATAAAACGGGAGTGTACATCAACGAACTACGCTTGCTAAACATTTTACCCCTGTCCATGTTCATCCAGCTAAATAACATCTTACTTCTTGCCAGTCTTGATTCTAATGAACGAAATGAAATAGTGTTAAACAGGCGAACCACACGGGCTAGAAATATAGAAATTTTTGAGATGCGAAAAGTGAGAACGGAAAAAGCGAGAAACGAATTTGTTTTCAGAACCAGTAGGATTGTAAATCGATTAGAACCATATATTCATTTTGATAAACGAATCGGCCTCAAGACGAGAATTTTAAACACGATGTGGAAATTTGTAAACGAGAGATTTTCAGAAATGACAACGTGCACGTGGCAATTATTCTGTGATTGTATCACGTGCAGAAACAAGTGGACATTGTTTTAGAGAAGACGCCGGGACCAAGACTCCCAACAGCAGTGCTGTGAATCCCCAACAACAACAACAACAACAACAACAATAAAAGTATATCATGGGATCAGTATAAAATAAAATAGTTGCAGAACCTATGTGGCCGAAATAATTAGCGTTTGATACAAATGGTGATATCTTTTGAAAAAGCTACATGAAACAGCAATCTAGTCCAATCTTGTGATTAAACGAGTTGTCATCTTTTTTTTTTAATTTAGTTTGTTCTCGTGTATCAAACTTTGATTTCTTTTAAAGAATAGTTATGACTAATTTTCAGTCCGTACACAAATTTTGGTGCAAAAAAACTATGACTGCTTTTTTCTTGTGTTTCGGCGGAGAATTTTTATGCATTAAGGTTAATGTTCCAGATCGTTGATAGTTTTTTTTATAGATGATTGCTTCTGATTTGACTACAAGCAGGAACAATTCTTGAAGATAGTTTATTGTTAAGGAAGCCCAAATTTCGATTTGAACAGTGTACATGTGGAGTTTATAGTAGTTGAGTGACCATGATTTGTGTGTGTATAAAAGTGTGTTTTTGAGAGTTTTTTTTATCACTGTGTGCAATTGCATGTTTCAGTGTTGAGCCATTAATGGACCATGACAACAGCGACTCTGAGCACCAACAGTACGGGTATGGGCATCACTATCCATTGGTTATCTAAAATGGGGGTTAAAACTGAAAGTAAAGTCTCGGCACATTTCATTTACTTCAAAATTAATTTTCAACTAGCAACAAGAAAAGGTTTTCGAAAAAACAACTTAAATGAGTTTGCAAAAACCTTGAGAGACTAAAAGATTTTTGAATACTTTGAAAATTAATTCCAGAAAACTTGGCAAAAAAAACTTTTAAAAAGTGTTTTAATGACGCATTAGAAATTATTTCATGGCTTGCGGTTTTAACTTCCTATCGTCTGGCAACTCAAATACTGCAATCATTGAAAAGACTGTAATTATTGAAATTAAAATTGCATGTTCTGAATCCATTACGATGGCCATAAGGTATGAAGGTGTTTTTTGCGTAGTAGCCCAACAAGATGTTTGTTTTTCAGGAGTAGCCCAACTAGAGCTTCAACCAACCCCAGACGACCCACTTCAAACTACTCGAACAACAACAATAATGATAGACACCTGTCATTGAACTTACGTCACAGTCAGAACTACCAACAGCAACCACCCCCTCAATCACTCTCCAGGCCAACCTCCAAACCCCCCTCCCACCCCACCCAAAGTCCCTCGACTACACCTTCTTCAAATAACTACTCCCCCATGGGTAAAAATACTTGTTACATTTTTAATCAGGTGATAGAGAAATCTCCTAAGCTTCTAACATGTGGATTTAACTCATCAGCATAAAAATAATTTTCTTGTGACAGTTTATTTTTCGGTAAGAAAGTGAAATATTTTTTGACAGAATAGTGAAGGAACTAATATGCTTACGAGAAATCGGGAAAAAAAATTCTAGCAAATTAGCAAAAATTTGAACTTTCCAATCAAGAATTATCAAAATTTTTAAATTTCCGAAAGATTGTTAAAACATGTGCCAATTGTTTGTTTGATTTAGTGGATAGTTCTCCTTATATCGATTCTTAGATTTTACATGTCTTAATATTTGAGGACCGATCTCCAAATTAAGGTCATCAGAAAATGCATGCGCAATTAGAAAGTTTCTTCAGCCACTAAACGTTTTTCGATTCATCTCTTTCAGACATATAAACCTAAATTTTTATTTCTAATTTTTTGGTATGTTGTTTTAGGTCCCCAGTCAACTTACGAGCCAGTTCAGTATCAACCAATCAACGGCGACAGTGAAGATCAGCCGGGAATGAAGCAGACGAGTATTTGTTAGACATGTAATCACGAACTTAATAGTCCGAAGATTATCAAACCAATATCTTTTCTCTAACTTTTTAAACTGAACCTCAGAGCAGCTCTTATAAATGATTATGTGGCACTTTTGAACTTTATCGAGGAAGTTTAGTAATATGTTCCTGGAAAATCAAGACCCTATTTTGTCCCTATATGTCAAAACGTCATTGCAATCTAAAGCTTTTGCTTGTTTTATTTGATGTTTGTTGTTTGTATTTTTTGTAGTCCAATCATTTAGCCGCTGATCCTTGGCTGCCTTCAACTAGTTTGGGTACGTTAATTTTAAAGAGAGATGTTTGTTATTTTTTATTTTTGCTCGATTTTATAGTTTCCTTTTACAAATTAAAAATTATTTACAAAATGGTAGAAAAATTTGAATCAACTCGCTCAGTTGCATGTGATTTCTATTCAGAAGAAATGATAATTTCGACTATTTATTTATCATTGATGAATTGTAATTTACATTTTTGTAAAATTGATATTTCTCTTGCTTGATTTCAAACTGATGATTGTTGAATTAAAATGCTCGATTTTTTCAAAAGCTTGCTCGTGTGCTGGTATTTTATCCAATAATTTTATCTTTACAACTCTCTCGCTCATGGAACCTTAAATTATGGCAATATTTTATACAGATACTAATAATAAATTTGGCTGATAGATAATTTTGTGAAAAAATAGATACGTTTTGTGAAATAAATTCATTTCTTGGTGTCCATTTTCATAAAGAGTCATAAAAGCAAATACATGGGCGGAGCAAGTTTTTTTTAGGATGGGGGATCATCAGAACTGTTTTTAAAAGATCTTGAGCTTTCTTTAGCGGTTGACTCAACAGAATTTCTAGTTTCATCAAACGCACATAAAAGGTCCCGATTAAAGTTTTTACATCACAGAGCAAAAATGTTCCTCTTCCAAAGGCCGTTTTTAAATTCTGGATTTAGCTTTGGAAAGCTTTGACACCTCAAACACAGTATCTATAGCCGTGAAAAGATCTATTAAACACCTTCTTGATTCGTTTTTCAAAAAAAATGTTCTTAAAACATATTTGGAAGAACTTTACAAAATAATCTACAAGATGATAATATTTTATAAATTTAGCTTTTTCTAGCAAACAACTGCTCGATTTTTAAAAACAATCGAAATGTTTGTGAAATGAAGCAACAATTTTACAGATTCTGATATATTAACATCGCCCGCCAAGCGATTGCTCAAAACACGAAAATTAGAAAATTAAATAAAAATCAAATAAATTTTTGACCGCGAGTTGCAGATTCGTAAACTTGAAAATAGTAAGCGTATACTACGGCTGAGATGTAAAACCTTACTTAGGGGAATTACATACTATTTCCCTAAACTCAACAAATAAAAGGTGCTATCAATTTTAATTCAGTCTTAGAATATGCTGCTTCAGATCAGATCGTAGCGACAACTAAACAATGTGTTATCGAACATAGCTCGGCCAAGTACCAGTCAACATCAATTAGCAAAACGACGTTCAGCATAAATACGGACCTATATCTAACATATAACGATAATACCACCACATAACCCCTTGGACAAAAAGATTTTAAAATAGTTTTCATACAAGTTTCAAAAATCAGTTTTTGAAAGTCAGTTTTTCCGTTTTATGACATGTTTATTTGTCGACATTCTGTCTTTCGTTTTCTTTCCAACTTCGCCTTCGCTGTGATGTCGCCTTCCGTAGAATTGGTTGTTTTTTGCCCTATTTTCGATCGTCTGGATTTGGAATCACCAAATCACTCCATTTCGTTTCACTCACACTGCAAATTGAGACCACGCCTTCAATTATTCTCGACTTCCGCACTCTATCACTCGAACGCACCAATAAATCTGACAATTTTTAAGTTGAACGTCTCGCATTTTTGGTGTGTTAATAGTAGGTTTTGTGCCTGTTGACTGGTTATGCCCTTTAATGATGGCCCTGGTAAGTCCTCAGCTTGACATGGGGCCTTGAATCCCAATTCTACGTCTGCAAAAATCAGGCAGTGCGACCTCCCGGTTATCGTCTCTTTCTCTTTCCGAATCACTACTCTGGACACGTTGCGGGCTTCCTTGTCCGATGGGTATTTGCGGCTTCTTTTTTAACTCCTCTTTTCTTATTTTCGTCGTCCCCTCAAGCTTTCCGACAAGTTGGCGTTTATGACGCTGTGCTTCAGTTCTTACTCTTTCTATCGCGTCAGGGTCCTTGATCAACAATTTCTGTTTTCTGATCGTCCTGGAGTCGCCTTTAATTGCTGCAAACTTGTACATCGGGATCCAATACAATGCGCTTAATCTGAGCTTCGGATCTCTGTTTCCTTGTTCCCAAGCTCCTTGATCGTTGTCGTCAACATTGAAGTTCTCACTATTCCTGCATCCTGATGCGCCTCCTCAAACGTTCATTCAATCTCCTTCTTAGTTCTGACCCTGCGACACGTTATTCTAGCCACGTTTGCAATGGGCAGGCTGATCCTGCCCTTAATGGTGTCCAGTCTGAATTTCTCCTCTGGAAACTTTACTACCATTGGTTCTGTCGTCCGCGATAACTCCTCTACGCCCAAGGTTTGGATTCACTTCCTTCGTCTGTCCGCCATAACGTCACTTCTGAGGACCTCGTCTTAAATTTCTTGTCATCCAGCAGCGGCGTGTTTTAAGTCACCTCATCAAAACCAGTAAGGGTGAAGGCACGATTTCAACCATAACAATATTCAGTTATTATGTTTGATTTTGGGGTATTCGGATAGCGGCTAAAATGCGCTTGCAACGGTTGCAAATTTAAAACCTTTTGCTCAGTGATTCTTAATTGATGTATTTTACGAAATAAGTCTTCAAATAAAATAAACTTTGCTTTCTTTTCTTCTTTTATACATCCTGATCTTTCTGTGAAAGTAGTGTACTAATCAATCTTTCTAATATCCCTTGAGTGCAATGATCACCCACCAGTGATATCAATAATTTTCTAGCACTGGCTCAAGGCGCGACATCTCTCCTTTTCTCCTCTGTTTTATGAGCCTTTCTTTCTCCCCTAACGGTGGTTTTGTCTTGCGTCACTTTTGGAATCCGCTTCCGATTCCCATTCCTTTTAGCTGACTGAGCATTCTTTCCTCCAGCTTCGCTGGAGCTTTCCTCTCCCTCCTTGAAAACTGTGCCGCCTTCTTCTATTGTATCACTTTCGCTGATTTAATTTCACATGTATCGCATTTTCAGTGATGTAGGTAGCATATTCGAACAACTTCGCTCTGCTGCATGAGTTTGTTTCAAAAGTTTCCGTTATCATTTAGCTACTTCCTGGCTCTAGTTGATCATGAAAATTATTGCGATATTGCTGAGCGATATCACTAGTAATTTTAAACCGATTAACTTAGAAACGTTCAATTTGCGGTACGCTATTTTTCGCGCGCTCTCTGAAGTATGAGTTTTTTTGCTATCAGTTGGCCAATCACAGTTGAGCAATTAGCGGCGTGAATTATTTCTTTGCTCGTTCTCCAACTAAAAGTATGTCTGGATACCCGCCTCGATTGTTTTCTAGCGAAACGAAATTACGTAATGTGGTATCTAGCGACATTTGACTCTTTACTGGCGTATCCTTGAATCCATAAAAACATGTCATGATTTGGCATGGTAGTCATCAATTGCATTCAAACATAATCAATTGCATTCATCTGATATCATCCGATGAGTCCGAATCATAAAGTTGTAAATGACTTTCTATCACTATCAGATTTGTTTACTCTTCATCATAGTTCCTCTCGTCCTTTACTTTATCTTGTTCATTCTCATCCACATGTTGAACCTTGGCACGGAATGGAGGTCTCGTTCCACGTCCTCCTTTCTGCGATCCTGATACTCCTCTACCTCTTGAGTTTGCGCTAGATTGGCCATGCAATCCTCCACTGCTACACATTCTAGTAAATTTTTTCTTCATGCCACACTTCCTACAATCTTGACCCATGGCTGGGTAAACCTGACGATGCTGCACTGACCACGAGTTTCCTCATGAGTTTCACGGATTCCCTCGACGATCTACTATCATCTTGCACGAAGTTCACATCCCCGATCAACAAAATTCCGTATCCGCTCTTATCCCTGATAGTCTTTGTGTTATCCTGTGACTGCTCCAATTGTATTGCGTACTCTGGAGTCTTTTCCGGAATCATCACTTCCTTCTCGAAATCATCCTGAATTTCTAAATTTGACATTTTGATTAAAAATGCCGCTGATAATTGCGTCTTCTCCTGCTCCGAAATCAGAACGTTCTGCCAGGCCCCTCAGCTGACAGTAGAACTGATCCAATGTTCCCCTTTTGATTGTTTTTTGTGAAAAAGTACGTATGTACCGAAACTTCGGTTTCTCGGTTTTCGGAAAACTACCTACAAGTTCTGCCAAACTATCCTCATTGCGATGAAATCGTTGTTTATATCCACCTTCGGATAGCTTTCCGCGAAATGGTATAGTCCCTCTCTTCCTTGCGACAAAATACGAGTTTCTTGGCTTTTCTCATTGCCGCTTCCCATGTTATTTTATCGCATGAAACTTGTACATCTCGAAAACTTCCCATTTGTTCTTCCATCTTGTTTCAGACTGTGGCTTTCGAATGTTACAATCTTAAGTATTTGTAGCCGCTTTGCCGTCGATGACTGGTTTCTCTACTGGAGCTGTTAGTAACGTAACTTCTGTCTGTTTTGGCCCTAAAAAAAATTCAACTGCCTGTCCCAAAAAGTCAATATAATAAGCAGATCCTTGAGCCCACTGAACCTTTTAATGGCTGCGCAAATAAGTAAGCGTTATGTACGGCTGTAATGTAATACCTTACTTGAGAGAATCAAATACTAACTCCCTCAAACTCAATAAGTTTTACGTGCTATCAATGTTACTTCAGTCTTGGAGCATAGTGTTTCAGATCAGATCGTAACGACATCTAAACAAAAGGTTATAGAACATAATTCGGCCAAGCATCAGTCAACATCAATTAGAACAGTTACATTTAGCATAAATATGAGATCTATATCTAACCCGTAACGATAGCAACAACATATAACCGTGGGGCAAAATGATTTTTGAAGAGTTTTTTAAAATATTTCAAAATCAGTATTCCTTAAAAGTCATTTTTTCGGTTTTTCTGATAAGTGTGAATGTCGACAATCTCTCTTTTTTTTCTCTTCGATGTTCGAATTCCGTCGGTTAAGTTGTGTTCTTGCTTTTTGTGGATTTCGTCGTTTTTTTTACCCTCTTATCGATCGTTTTGTTGTGAAATCAACGAATCAATCCATTTCGTTTAACTCACACTGCAAATTGGGACCCAAATTTTGATTTCTCTCGCATTCCTCATTCTAATACTCGAAAGCATCGATAAATCTGACATTTTCGATGTTACACTTCTAGCATCTCTTTTTGTTGGAAGCAGGTTTTGCTACTGTTGACTCGTTATACCCCTTGATGATGGCTTTGGCAAGTCCTCAGCATAGAAAAATCACCTAGAGAATCAATTCAATTCATAGATAACTCGATAACGTTTCATTGACTACTCAGAACTCTGATTAAGAGTAATGAACAAACTAAAAGTTCTCACATAAGTCTTGATTGTTGAATTAAAATGCTCGATTTTTTCAAAAGCTTGCTCGTGTGCTGGTGTTTTATCCAATAATTTTATCTTTACAACTCTCTCGCTCATGGAACCTTAAATTATGGCAATATTTTATACAGA